ATTTAATCGTACGTATATAAATTCTATTTCTCTTTACTTTCAACACAGAGATAACTTTATGAGTCTTTAAAAAACGCAGAGTGAGTTGTGCTCTGCTTCTCGTCAAGTTTCACATCATTAACGCGAAAGAAAATTAAGTGATTCTTTGGACACTAAGAATTCCGTTGCAGGAGGAAATCAATCTCAAATTTTTCGGACTGTTCTTATAATAGCGCCCATTTGGCAACGAATTAACAATTGTTATCCTTTTCTAAATTTTTACAAATAATGCAAATATTATGCAATTATCGAATATTTTAACGATAACTTAATCGATATTAATCACAATTTTATAGTGCACAAAATCAAGATTTGCATGCAAAAATATTTTTTATATTATTACGAGATATAGTATCTTAACAAAATAGAAACATGGATAGAATAATGTTTATCAAAGGATAATTACAAATGATTATATTTCAAAGTAATAAAATACATATGTCATTATACTGGGTTGTCCGGAAAGTTCGTGCCGATGTTAAAGGAAAATTGAAACGGAGAAGATTTAAATTTTAGTATACATTTATTAAATTATATAATATATAGGTTAGTCGGCACGAACTTTCCGGATAACCCAATAATTTATATATGTGAGTACAAAAATTTTCAGGTACCAACTGTTCAAGGCGAATCGAACCGATAACAATGAGATTTAAATTTTCATCTTATTTTGATTTTATAATCGAATATTATTAATATAAAATTTATCAATCTTCTTTTTTCTGTAGCAGTTACTCAAATGTAGTCAAGTAATTATATAGGATTATCTAAATAATTAATGTAATATTTAGATAATTAGAGCTATCAAAATCTTATTGATATTGAGGTACCCAATCGATTTGTCTTGAATTTTTAAGTACTCACATTTTTTTAATTACGTCCATTATATTATTACAATAAATTATTTAAATAAACATAAATTTTTTTGATAAAATTTTATCAGATATATAGAAGCTCAAAATTTTTTGCATAATATATAGATATACTGCGTATGTACTTCATTATACAAATTAATCTAAAAAATTTTTAATTAATTAATGTTTTGGAATAAAGGGATGTCCAGTGCCTGAAAATAGTTTTTAAAAAAAAACTAAAGATTAAAATACAAAAATATATTCATTTGTAACCACATTTTTTCTTAAAGAAATCGCAAAATCAACTAACAAATTAACAAAACTTCTAATTTTAGTTTATTTAATGTAATTCACTTATCTATAAATAATTGCTATCCATGTTCAATATGATAAATCTTATTATTATCAAAGCATATTAATGTTAATTAATAAAAGAATATTTAATGAAAAGAATAAATTTTTGTCTTAGAACATACTATACTATACTATATTTAATTAATTTCATGATTAGACTTAAAAAAATTATATTGTCGTAGTTAACTTATTGCTGAAATCACTGCTTTCAGAGAATATCAAAAAACTTAATTAATTAATCGATTAATTTCAGTCCTGCAACGACCGAGAATCCTCAGTTTTAAATAAAGCACCGAAATAGGCATCTCGGATGGATGCTACGCGACAAGAAATAACTTCCCATGTTAAAAATCATTACTTTCCATCGGTATGAATTACAACATTTATATGTCTACTACTTAATGCTAGAAATAGCCACGATCAAGCCCCAATTATCGTACTTATAAACATAAAATAACACAGTATTTGCAACTTTTAATAATTTAACATATTTAATACGAAACATAATTTAAGAATTCGGAAAGAATTAATAAATATTTAATATTATATATTTCATGAATACGTTTCATTGTAAAAGCGAGATAAAATAAGGCGTTTTGCAAATTCTATAACCATATTTATTCGTATACATTTACCTATTTACCCGCATATTTCAACTTAATAAAAAAAAATCTTTAATTAAAATCGCAATGCGATGTGCGACTTATTAAACAAACTGATTTTTTATTTAATCCAGCAAAATATCTGAAATCTACTCGAGCGATAAATCTAAGAATCAGAGTTTCAAATATACACGCGCGATTAGAATGAAAATTGGATCTTTCCAATCTCATACATATATGTGAAAATAGAGGAAAATATAGAGGAAATCAAACAAATAAATAAATAATAATTTTGTACATTATCTTATATTTCACGTGATCAAAATTGATCACTTACCTTATTCCTTCCGTCATATTCTTCTTTCTTTCTTCAGGCAAAATCGAATTTATCTTTCGTCACATCTATCGTCACATCGACCATATAGACTGATCGCATTTCAATTAAAAATCGATAAGACAGAGATACCTCTTTGCTGTCAGATTATTATTATCGCCGACACAATATTACGTTCGTGTGTAGTACATACGCGAGAAGATCGTACCGAAAAATTTAAACTAATGAAAAATTATTTAAAGAGAATATTGATAATAACCGTAAAAATTGTACAAAATTGAAGATATATTTCACAAATTTCATTATTTGCATGAGAATTTTGATCGAATGTTTCTCCACGACACGCGTTGTTTAAACTTGGAATTTTATTTAAGTTTAAAAAGACTTTACTTGTCGTATTAATATATATTAATATCGTTCTAAACAAAAAAAAATTTACATATTTCGTGAAAAATTGAAATTTATAATGTAATATTTTAATAATCAAAAATCAGTAAATAATAAAGTAATAGAAAATTTGATGCAACAGTGAAGATATAATGCATGTTTATATGATAAGCACCTTCAAAACAACGTAAAATACACAAAAGAAAATAAATGACATAAGATCCGAAAGAATTAAAAAACACATACAGTATCTAATAATACAATATTATAATTAATTATCGTGCGAATGATAATAATTATAAGATTAACCGATATAAATATGTTTTCTTTTCATATTCAAATTACTTTTAATATAACATTTGATATAAATTTAATTGTAAAATAAGTTACATATAAAATCATAATTATGAATAAGAGAGAACTTGAATGAAACTATTATTCATATTTCCAGCCTATTAAAATATATATTCTAGAATATGATAGCTTGAAGTTATACATAAAATAAGGAGAAATGAGTCACAATTAGTATACCATTATACGTATTAAAAGACCATTCAAACAAACATACTATTATTTACTATGTGTGGCAGTTACATATAACATTAAATTTTAAGTAATTGAACAAACATAAAATAAATGAAAAGACGTTAATAAAATTATTGATAGAATAACGGAAACTTAGAAAGAGTAATTTGATCACCAAAATGCTTTTTAAATCTTTTTAAAAATAATTATCAAAGTATGAAAAAATAAGAAACGATCGATGTGAACAAATAAACGAAATCACTTCCAATTCATAACAGTGAACAAGGCGAATATTGATGATATTCACGATACAAGATTCTAATTTAGACAACTCCTATTTTTTCTCGTTTCCTAACTAATAATTCAACAATTTAAAAAATGTTAATAGTCATCAATCGATATTGAAATTATTGATATATGGAATCTGGATCCCATGGGTAAAAATTCGGATTTAATGCATGCAATAACAGAACCCTCCATTTTTAATGAAATTAGAACGATAGGAATTGCATGTCACAATAAAAATCATTACGACTCCTAATGTTTTTCCTCAAATTTTCCTTTCATCAATATATTACTAGATATGAGCAAAAGTAACTTTAAAAATCTGAATTCACATAAAACAAAATATTATATTGAATTAATTAATTTCTTTTCCACACATGATATTTAAATTAAAACTTAACACATGTTTCAATTTTACAAAAATGCTATTATGTTTCTTCCATAATTGCGTGTTTCTTCATAGGATATATAAATTACATTAAATTTTTATTTTACAATTAAACACAATCTCCGCTATTAAAATTCTGCGATTCGTGGCAAAGAGATTTCTCATGTGACGCTCCTTCTATAAGTCTTCCTTTGACCCTTCTGCAGAAATTCTTTCCTCCGCTTTCGTTAATTTCTCTTTGAATAAATTTTCTCAACTAGCGAATCACTATATATGCCTTTGTTGCAAATCCTTCATGAAAAGTGTAACGACAGTGTAAATTTCACGCAAAGTGACTGAAGATTTGCTATCGATCGACGCGGCGATACAGGATCGACAACGACATCATTGTGAATATATTTATTAATTTTAATATTTGTTATTACTATATTCCAGCGTTATTTAGTTTTATTTTTTCCCAATGCGTCAGGACTCTACTCCTGATATTTTTTCTACAATCTTTCCCTTTCATTTTACTTCTACAATAAATTCCATCGCATATCTCAATATCTCTTCACCGAAATCTTCTAAATGATTCGAGGATCATTTATATTGCTGCATATCCATGGCAAATGCAAGAAACGGTGCGGATTGCGCGAAGTGGCGATTTGCTACGTGCGACGCGGGACCGGCAGTGAAATCGTTGCGAATATGGCCGGCTTCTAGAGTCACATTAACGCGTGTATAACGTCGACGAGGCCTTCATAACCACAATACTCTGTGAACCACAGTAGTCTGTGTCACATCAAGTGTGCAAATCACGCGGCTGATAGACGCGACGTGAGGCAATCCACTTTCTGGGGCGCTATTGCCCACATCCCTCGTGCGTTAATCATGGTTAATTCGGCTTATCGGCTTCCTAGACGCTAGTCTTACGAGACAAGTTCGACAGATAGTCTTACGAGACAGACCGGTAAACGTGACGAGAATTAGGCACATATTGCAACGATCTTACTACCGGATCGTATCCCAAATTTACACAAGTTTAGAGTAAAACCCGGAAATGTTCTGAAGAAACGCACCGTTTGTTGCCATGAGAAAGCTGTAACAGAAATGTTAAATGACACACGAAAAATTAATGAAAATTTTCGAAAGGAATAAGATATTGAGAGAGCCGGTACGGAAGAGCCACTACACAACGGAAATTAATAAAGGGACGTGTAAAGGATAAATTAAAATTGGATCTTTGAAGATGGCTAAATGTACGACCGCTAATATTTATTATTTTTTTATTTCAGCTTTTCATTTTTTCTTTTTCTCAATGCGTCAAGACTCTACTCCTAACACAATACTTCTTCTACAATTGTTCTTCTTGATTTTTTTTCTTCAATAAATTCCACTCATCGCATATCTCAATTTATCTTTACAGAAATCTTCTAAATGTTTCGAGAATCATTTATGTCTCGGTTGCTGCATATCCATGGCCAATGCAAGAAACGGTGCGGATTGCGCGAAGTGGCGCTTTGCTACGTGCGACGCGGGACCGGCAGTGAAATCGTTGCGAATATGGCCGGCTTCTCGAGTCACATTAACGCGTGTCTAACGTCGACGAGGCCTTCATAACCACAATACTCTGTGAACCACAGTAGTCTGTGTCACATCAAGTGTGCAAATCACGCGGCTGATAGACGCGACGTGAGGCAATCCACTTTCTGGGGCGCTATTGCCCACATCCCTCGTGCGTTAATCATGGTTAATTCGGCTTATCGGCTTCCTAGACGCTAGTCTTACGAGACAAGTTCGACAGACCGGTAAACGTGACGAGAATTAGGCACATATTGCAACGATCTTACTACCGGATCGTATCCCAAATTTACACAAGTTTAGAGTAAAACCCGGAAATGTTCTGAAGAAACGCACCGTTTGTTGCCATGAGAAAGCTGTAACAGAAATGTTAAATGACACACGAAAAATTAATGAAAATTTTCGAAAGGAATAAGATATTGAGAGAGCCGGTACGGAAGAGCCACTACACAACGGAAATTAATAAAGGGACGTGTAAAGGATAAATTAAAATTGGATCTTTGAAGATGGCTAAATGTACGACCGCTAATATTTATTATTTTTTTATTTCAGCTTTTCATTTTTTCTTTTTCTCAATGCGTCAAGACTCTACTCCTAACACAATACTTCTTCTACAATTGTTCTTCTTGATTTTTTTTCTTCAATAAATTCCACTCATCGCATATCTCAATTTATCTTTACAGAAATCTTCTAAATGTTTCGAGAATCATTTATGTCTCGGTTGCTGCATATCCATGGCCAATGCAAGAAACGGTGCGGATTGCGCGAAGTGGCGCTTTGCTACGTGCGACGCGGGACCGGCAGTGAAATCGTTGCGAATATGGCCGGCTTCTCGAGTCACATTAACGCGTGTCTAACGTCGACGAGGCCTTCATAACCACAATACTCTGTGAACCACAGTAGTCTGTGTCACATCAAGTGTGCAAATCACGCGGCTGATAGACGCGACGTGAGGCAATCCACTTTCTGGGGCGCTATTGCCCACATCCCTCGTGCGTTAATCATGGTTAATTCGGCTTATCGGCTTCCTAGACGCTAGTCTTACGAGACAAGTTCGACAGACCGGTAAACGTGACGAGAATTAGGCACATATTGCAACGATCTTACTACCGGATCGTATCCCAAATTTACACAAGTTTAGAGTAAAACCCGGAAATGTTCTGAAGAAACGCACCGTTTGTTGCCATGAGAAAGCTGTAACAGAAATGTTAAATGACACACGAAAAATTAATGAAAATTTTCGAAAGGAATAAGATATTGAGAGAGCCGGTACGGAAGAGCCACTACACAACGGAAATTAATAAAGGGACGTGTAAAGGATAAATTAAAATTGGATCTTTGAAGATGGCTAAATGTACGACCGCTAATATTTATTATTTTTTTATTTCAGCTTTTCATTTTTTCTTTTTCTCAATGCGTCAAGACTCTACTCCTAACACAATACTTCTTCTACAATTGTTCTTCTTGATTTTTTTTCTTCAATAAATTCCACTCATCGCATATCTCAATTTATCTTTACAGAAATCTTCTAAATGTTTCGAGAATCATTTATGTCTCGGTTGCTGCATATCCATGGCCAATGCAAGAAACGGTGCGGATTGCGCGAAGTGGCGCTTTGCTACGTGCGACGCGGGACCGGCAGTGAAATCGTTGCGAATATGGCCGGCTTCTCGAGTCACATTAACGCGTGTCTAACGTCGACGAGGCCTTCATAACCACAATACTCTGTGAACCACAGTAGTCTGTGTCACATCAAGTGTGCAAATCACGCGGCTGATAGACGCGACGTGAGGCAATCCACTTTCTGGGGCGCTATTGCCCACATCCCTCGTGCGTTAATCATGGTTAATTCGGCTTATCGGCTTCCTAGACGCTAGTCTTACGAGACAAGTTCGACAGACCGGTAAACGTGACGAGAATTAGGCACATATTGCAACGATCTTACTACCGGATCGTATCCCAAATTTACACAAGTTTAGAGTAAAACCCGGAAATGTTCTGAAGAAACGCACCGTTTGTTGCCATGAGAAAGCTGTAACAGAAATGTTAAATGACACACGAAAAATTAATGAAAATTTTCGAAAGGAATAAGATATTGAGAGAGCCGGTACGGAAGAGCCACTACACAACGGAAATTAATAAAGGGACGTGTAAAGGAAATGTTTCTGATAAACGCACCGTTTGTTGCATGTGCCATGAGGAAGTTACATCAGAAATGTTAAATAACACATGAAAATTTATGAAAGGAATAAGGTATTGATAATGCCGAGACGAAGAAGTTATACTGAAAGAAATAGTCTGGTTGGATTAAATAGCAATTCTGGTGATAAATGAATCAGAATTTTCTGATTAAATCTATTAGAATTCTAATTGAAATAATCTGATTCTCGGTTTTCAACTAGAAATTCTTGTTAGTGTAGACTAGAAGAACAATTTTAAGCAGAACATGTTAAGAAAAAAGAGAAAAAACAGTTTCTTGAAAACGTCTGTGGATTGGCGCATTGGTGATTTAGAATTGCTGTTTATAATTTTTATATTTAAAATTAAATAAATAAATTTTTATTCAAAAATTAAAAGTTAATTTGTATATAAGCTACTAGTAAAAACTGGATATTAAATAACATTGTAGCAATTGACATACAGCTTTTACTCGTAGCCTATATACAATTTAATTTTTTATATTTAATTTATTGTTTCTCAATTTCGTTTTGAACTCATATTAAATGACATTAAAACATATCGATTTTTAATTAATTAATGATATAATAAATTTTTATAGTAATTAGTATATCTATTTTTTTATATTTTCATCTTTCACGCTATATGCAAACACTGTTATGACTTTGCATATCAAAGTATTTTTTATGACATTTAAAGTTATAGTATAACAATTATTTATATTTATATAAAAAAAGTGTCTGTATTATCACGACACCCATTATTCTACCCGCAGACATTATACACATTATTAAAATAATTCCGTTTTCTATTTGATTTTTGAAAAATATCTTCAAACTCGATATAATTATGATGATATTTTTAAGACGGTATATTTTATTTAAAAAGAATTTTACAATTTATATTAATTTTACAATAAGAATATCATAAATTACTTGGAATTCTTATGTTTTACACAACGTTTATGTGAAATGGAAATAATTGTAAAGATACAACGAAATAAGGCAAAATTGAATCATCATAGATCCCAGTACATAATAACTGTATTTATAGCGACTAGATAATTTTATGTTTTATTTGTGGAAATCTTTGTACTAATCGTGCTAATAATATTTTTATCATATTGACACTCCATTATTACTTTAAATTATACATTTTTTTCTCTTATCGTTTTGACATACTAAATATGACTCAGTTTTGGCCGAAATATCTATAATTTATTATCTCTATGTATATATA